AGACAAGTCACTTCCCACTCTCAAATCTCTCTCCTCTCTCTTAAATATGGGAAAGATAAAGTCATGTGTTGCTGTGCAAATAAGGTCGTGAGAAGATACTCAGCCTGTCATTTGGTCTCTGAGCTGAGGTCTCATGTGCCCTTGTTGCTTTCCATAAACAACCACAGGCAAACACAGGCCCTCTGAAGGCCTCACCTGGACTGGACTATGTTAACCACAAAGAATCTTCTCTTTCTTCTGCCTATGCCCCTTGATAAATGGTGACAGAGGCTTCAAGTCCCTTCATAGAGAAGTAGGGAGAGACCAGGTCAGGCCTGGAATAAGTAGAAATATAGACATATCTACAGAAATATAGATCTGATGTGACTTCCGACGCTAGCATACAATTCATCACGGCCTCTCTCCTCTCTAAACCACAGAAACGAGGAGACCGCTCAAGTCAAGACTGGAAATACTATTTGTTCATTAAATATTCAGCCTATTTTACGTGCAAAGCAGTCTGGGGATGAGAAAAAAAAACCAAACAACAAAAAAAACAACCGAACAAAACCAACCACCCTCCTTGTCAGAGCCAACTCACAGCTGATCCTCCAGAGGGTTTCTGAAACTGTAAAATCCACAGAAAGAAATTACTCATCTTTCTTCCAAGGTTGTTTGAACAGCTAGAAGAGGTTCAGTCTTTGGTCTTGCAGCACAACTCCAATGAATGGACTACACCACCAGAGCTCCAGGAATGGGGCAAGCCAACCCAAACCAGGAGATACCTACAGCTAGGATACAGGGGGCCCGACAGGATTGAGCTACAAGTTTTAGTAACACCTGCTTCCTCTATGAAGTGATTTTCTTTTCAAGGGCAATGGGTGGAAAGCTGAGCCTTAAAAGAATTTTGAAGAGTTGGCCCAGACCACGCTGATTCCGAGTTAATTTCTGACACAACACCTTCTCTCCAGGAAGCTGGGTGACATGCCCTTAAACGGATTCAGAAATGGGAAGGAGGAAAGGCCCTCTGCCATTCAACTCCTTCTTTTAGGAAGCAGCTGTTGAAGTACCTCACACAGGCCACTATTCAGGCAATAATTTTGTCAGTCCTGGAGAGGGTTAAACCAAGCTAATCCTTGGAGGCAAGGATTCTGGGGCTTCATCTGACATACTTTGGGCATGTTGCAAGGAGGGACAGGTCCTTGGAGAGGGACATCATGCTTGGGAGGGTGGAGGGACGGCGCAAGAGGGGCAGACCCTCTGTGAGGTGGATTGATTCAGTGACTGGGGTAATCAGGATGGGTGTGTCAGAGGCAGTGCGACTGGCACAGGACAAAGGAGGGTTTAGGGCTGTTGTACACAGGGTCGCTATGAGTTGCAAACGACTCGACGGCACATAACAACAACAACAACAATAACAATGACACTGAAGAAAGGTGCTCTTTATCCAGCACCAGACTGGAGCCAGACCTTTGAGACCTTCATCTGTACAAGTCTCACAGTAGCTGCAAGGTAGCTTTGGCAGTCTCATTTTTGAGGAAACTGAGACTGGAAAGAAAAAAAGTCACAGGTCCAAGGTCAGAGACAGGAAGCGAGGGGCAGTGCTGGGACTGGACCCTGCCATTTTACCATGTCCTGAACCACCTCATGCCTCAGCCTTCAAATCACGCCGTGTGCAGGCAGGCAGTAGAAAAGGATGTTCTGTGAGGTCACAGGAACAATCAGAGCTCTGAATTATCCAAGTGCAGACTTCCACCTGACCCTGTGAGGATGAATCCTGGATCCCCCAACTCTACTCCAAACTGAAAGGAGAAGAACTGACACAGCCTCTGGCAGCTAACCAGTAACAAGAGCAATAATATAATAATAACTAACACTGGTAGAGGGAGCTCTGGTCGCATAGCTGGTGGGGAGTTGCACTGTTAACTCAAAGGCACCCTCTTCTTGTGTATTTACAGTCTCCTGAAAAGCGGCTGGAAGGTCAGATAGGTTCCAAGTGGACAGCAATGAGATCAAGTTTCAACACTGCCAGAATCTTACTTTTGAGTTTGAACACTGATAGAATCTTGCTTTGCATCACGCATTGGGCCAAACTTTTACATATTTCCATATCCCAATTAATCTCAAATTGCCAGTATTCCATTGATTATCCCTGCTTTGTAAGTTTAAAAAAAAAACCCCAACAAAACAAAAGCAAAAAAAAACAAACAAACCCAAAACCCAACAAACCAGAGGCTTAATGAGACTAAGCAATTCACTGTTGCTGCTGTTGTTTTGATGGAACTTGGAAGCCATGGGGGGGGGGGGGTAAGGACACTTCCCCGGGGCTCTATTTTGCCCTAAGAGACGCTATCTGGAAGTGTCTGTCCTCAGAGCCTCATTTCCCTCTTCTTAGTTCCGGCTTTGTCTCTAAGGATAGAACTCTCCATGCGGACAGCAGGGAAGGAAAAACTTATTTCTCTCTGTCACAGGAGACTGTTGCTTTGACACAAACCCCAGCCGGTTCTGCGGTCTTGTGGCTGCAGCTTTTGAGGTGTCCACAGGAAGCCCAAAGCCGAGCTTTAAAGAGAAAGCCTGCAGTCATAGAGGCAAGCAGCTTCCCGAGGAAGGTAGTAAATATTTGATGGGACCTTCCAGCTCCTCCTGACTCAGGTGACCCTGGTGACATTTCAGAACGCTGAACTGGAGAGGCTTCTTCCTTTAATGGCTGGGAAAGGAGGAGGAACTACAGCATGTAGCTGGGCTGGCACGTTCCAACCCCATGTAGGCAAATCCTACAAAGCTGCAAAGAAAGCACTCTTCTTTCTGGGGGGGCATCTACCATGACCAGCAAGTGAGAGGGCCAGAAAGCGTGTGCTTCAGGCCACTTGTAACTACTACACTGGAAATGATCAAAACACTTGGGGGCCCTGCATAAAAAGCTAAACCCAATCTATTGCTGCAGAGGTAATTCCATACAGGGATCCTAGAAGACGGACCAGAACTGCCCCCCAGGGTTTCCCAGGCTGTCTTAAAGGAAGCAAATCACCACATCTTTCTCCTGAGAGCGAGTGAAAGTCAAATCATTTATCTTTCAGAGTGCTTAACCACTGTACCACCAGGGTGCCTTCACTGTCTCCCTGTTGTTGCTGTGAGGTGACATCAAGTCAGCTCCAACTCACGGTGGTGGCCCTATATACGATAGGATGCTACATTGCCTGGTCCCACGCAGTCTCACAATTGCCACTGCATCTGAGGCCGCTGCTAGTCACTATATTGATTGATAGTGTCCAGCAATGTGTGGTAAAAAGCGGGTACTCGTGGAGTATGTGACAACTGAATGAATGAGTGTCACTGGGTCAACAATCTCAATAACTCAGCATTCCTCCTATAACCCAGACGCACTACACACACCACTCTTACCCTAACATCCCACCCCCGCACCAGTGCTGAGGCATCAAATGGGTTCATTCTGGCTGATTCTTTGCTTAGACTGTGCCTTTTCACCCCATAGATAGGGATTCAAAATCTACAGAAGCAATCATCTGATGATCTAGAAGAATCATCCAGGAATCTTATTAAAATGTAAGCTCTGGTGCAGTGTGTCTGGGGTGGACAGGCAAATGTCCAGCAATGGTTGAGCTCAAGTTCAAAGCCGTGACTAGTACATCAGCCACTGTGGTGAACTCCTCCCTCCACCCATTGCTGCCCTAACTCTCACAGCTCTGCATCCAAACTCCTGCTCTGAGAACAGCTTCCAGCTCACCGGGTTAATGAGGGCTCCCTGCAGGAGCAGAGCCACACACTGCTTACCCTGTGCACCACAGCCACCTGGCCGAGCCATGTGTGGCTGCCTTCATGTCAGATCTCCACCTGCATCAGCCACAGCCCAGTAGTATTTTGAAAGGAAATGTACAGATCTAAAGGAGATTGCACACACACAGCTTCCTGGGAATTCTGACCCAGCCTGGCTAAGCCGTGAGCTTGAAACGGCTTCCTTACGCTCCCTCATAGCATGAAGTACTCAGACCTGCTTCCCCACGCACTGTGCCAACACCGGCCCTCTGCATTACACTCTCAGAGGCTGCTGGCTGCCGCAGAACTGCCTCACTTCTGCGCCAATGAGTTTGACTTGATTACAGACTCAGGACTAGAGGAGATCTTGGCTTTGCTCTGGAGTTTACAGGTTCCTTTCTGCTAAGCCTCACTCCTCAGCAGCAAATCCCCAAATTAAAGATCTAGATTATGACTACAGAGTGGCTTAAGGGGCAGATGCACAGCTGCACACAGAAAAAAGGCCTGAGGGAAGCCAAAGGGGCCACAGCACCCTCCTCTCACCCTCCTGACCCTAAATCACACCACATCCAAGCCAGGTGCTCCTGGGTGTGACTACATGTCTCAATATTGAAACACGGCCCCACTGCCTACCCAACGGCACTCCTGGGGGAACAACCTCCTCACAGCACCCTGAAGTTCCAGTCTGAACCAGCGCTCTGATTGCTTCTCCATGGGCTGAACCCTTTCTTGAAGAGTCTTCTAGCTCTAACTTCTCCCTTCCCTGAGTCTCTATACCCAGGCCTTGGAGGCCACCATAAGCCATGGTTAGGATCTCTCATGCTTAACCAAATCTGTGTGCTCAGAGCCCCCAGACTCCAAAGCATAGCTCTATTAGGTCGCTCAGGCTGTGACGGCCAGAGGCGTGGGTTTGGCAGCACTAATTCAGAGCGCCCCTCCGTGCCGTGACCCCTGAAGTTAAGTGTCCAGACAGTTGCGAGGCTTACTCCCTTGCAGGGCGGGCTGATCTCGCTCGGAGGCAGCTGGGGTGGTACCACCCAGAAGAGGCCCGATGCGTGGACAGCGCACAGGGTGCTGAATCAGGCTGGGGAGGAGCAGCGCAGGCAAGGGCGTGGGGCCCCGGGGAGGACTTGGGGAGCCGAGGTGTGAACGGGGTAGCCGCAGGCAGGGGAGACGGGCGATGGACACGAAGCAGCGACAGGGTCCCGAGCGCCTCCAGGAGCGCAGGCGGAAGGCGCGGCCCTTACCTGGCCGAAGGCGGAGCTGAGCATGGGGCGCAGCTGGTGGAGGAACGGGTCCGCCTCCGACACATTGGCTGGAGTGGAGTCCCCACGGCCAGGGGCTCGCAGAGAGCCCCGGAGGCCGAGCGCCGGGGACGGTCCCCGTTCCTCCCCATCCCGCCCACGGGCCGGCTGCAGAGGGGACGGCGGCGAAGGTCGGGGCGCCACGGCCGGCAGCGCCTCCCGGGGCCTGCCGTGCTCCGCAGGCAGCCCGCGCCGGTTCCCCCGCGCGCCCTCCTCCCGCGGCGCTGGCCGGCACAGGGGCCTCCGCGAACTGGGGTCCCCGGGCGGCGGCGTGCTCGGACAGGCGCTGTGCAGCCGGCGGCCGGGCAGCCCCGGCTCCCGGGCTGGGCCGTGGCGGGGAGCCCGGCTGCCCCCGCTCGCCGCCGCCGCTTTCAGGAGCGATGTCTTGGACTCGCTTTTGGCGATATGCGAGCTCATCGCGGCGGGGCCCGCGCTCGCATGGCCCGGCAGGGGTGGCGCGGGGCCCCTGGCGGGCAGAGAGCTGGGTGCCCGGCGGGATCCAAGCCCGAGGACGCGCTGGAGGCGGGCGCCGTCCCCCGGCCGCTTAAATGCGGCCCCGTCGCCACCGCCCATGTGACAGCGCAGTGGATGCGCCTGGAGCCCTGAGCTCTCTGGCGTCTGGCGGTGCGGATCTGGGGGGGCCCCTACGGGCTGCCCTGGAGAGCCCACCCCCAGCTCCCCAGGTACCGGCGCGCCCCGCCTCTCGCCCCGCCCCGCGCTCGGGGAGCCTCGCTTCCGGGTGACTCCAGGCGGCCCGGAGGGAGGGGGGGGCTTTGGCGTGGAGGTGGAAGCGCAAAGAAAGGGGCTCCGCGAAGGGCCCCAAAAAGGCTGAGACGGGGTGACGCTGGCAACCGACACTACCAGGTCTGGAATGCCTCAGCACAACCGGAACCTAGAGAAACACAGGCAACTTTAAAATTAGGAGAAGAAATGTAAGTAACTAGAGACCCAGGGGGCACAAGGGCCCTCAGACGTCACTGCCCACAACACTAGCTAGGAAGGCATGAAAGGACCTGCTGGAGGGAAGAGCGGCTCTCCTGGAGTGACTGTGCTCCATCCACTGTACACACCACGGACACTAGGGTGACCCTGGCTTACTAGGGTGTGTGGCTAGGATGACCTCGGCATATATATACCACAGGGTGTGTGGATGGCATGACCCTGGCATATACCACGGGGTGTGTGGCTAGGATGACCCTGGTATATACCACAGGGTATGAGGCTAGCATGACCCTGGCATATACCACAAGGTGTGGCTAGGATGGCCCTGACATACCAGAGGGTGTGTGGCTAGGATGACCCTGGCATACCACAGATTAGAACTAGAATGACCTTGGTAAACCGGAAGGGTTCTTTGGAAGCCAGGGGACACTTGTAACAGCTGGATGATCAAGTCTCAGGTCAGGTCCCTTTGCCCACCCTACTCCCAGCTCTCGGTCCCCTCTCCTATTCCTGCCCTTCAAGATTCTAGAAAATCCCCTCTTATCAGACAGGCCAATTTTATCACCTCTCTGAACAATGTTTTCCTTTTCCTGTAAAATGCATATTTCTGTTAACTAAATTTTTGTTTGCATTGGTTTGCTTACGGTAACTTCTGATGACATCTTGTACATAAAAGCCAAGCCCAGGGCACTGGGCAGGTCAGCAAGTTCTTGCCTCAGCACCTCACTCTTGTTCAGAAATAGGATGCTTGAGTTTGGGGGGTGGGGGTAGTGAGTGAGTGTGAAAGTGAGAGAAAAAGAGAGTGTTTATGTGTCTGTCTCCTGAGCTCTCTTTGTCTCTGATGTTATCCATGAATGAGTAGGGTGCAGTCTGGCTACCACTGAGTCTCAACTGAAGCCCAGACAGACAGAATGCTAGCATGCTACACTTCACACATATTCTTCTCTGCGTTATCTGCTTTCTCTTCAATAGCCATGTACAAGAGGTTAAGAAAAACACACTGGGCAGGAAGACCAGGGAATGGAAGTGAACAAAGAAGTATGGCAAACTGTTCCCTAGCTCACCCACTGTGAGAGCCAAATTATCCAACAGAAACCCCTCAAGTCCTGAGGCAGACAGGTACCTATCAGGAGATGTGGAAAGATCACTACAGAATCCTCTGGAAGAGGCAGGGTAAAGAGCTCACCCTCCAAGTTCAGAGTCAATCACTTGTTTTATTTGCTCCCACATCCCTCAGCATAATCGGTATTTGGCAGGATTAGCCACAAATGTACATTCAATATAGATCACAGGAGATAAAGTACCTTGTCAGAATCCCTCGGGAGTGGATGAGCAGCAGTGGTATTTTAAACCCCAGCTGGGCAGTGTGTGTCTCACTATCATCAAGCAGGAAGAAGCTGAGAGTGAAGTGGGTCCTTTGAGTCAAGAGATCCCCATAAGTGAGACAGAGACATAGCTGCCTGGAGAACAGCCACAGAGGTGGTGGTGAACCAGAGACTTAGTGTAGAACGGAGCTCAGCTACACTTGAGGCCTTGCAAAGCCAAAGCCAAGAGCCTGGGCCTAGGCTTCCTGTCTGAGTAGGGTAAGGGGTGCACATAACTGGCAAAAAAGAGATATGTTGCCCAACAGTTACCTAACCACTAGGCAGAACCCAAGGCTGAGAAGCTATGGGTCAGAAGACCTGCCTGAGTACAGACCTCAGAAGTGGTCCTGAATGAAGAATTGTAACTCGAGTGTTTCCAACCTTATTTGTTACCCGGTATTTTCCTAATAAATCCCACAAGTTTAAAAAAACAACAAAACACAACCAACCCCATCATCATCCCTGTACCACTTTTGGCCGCCCTCTTGAAACTCCCTGAATATCCACGGGCAGGAACTGTTACCAACCGGTTTCTGAAAAAGGGAAGAACCTGATGCCCTCTGGTCATCAGAGAAAATAGTTTAGAATTATGTTCATGCAGCCTATAAAGCAACTACATTCAATCAAACATTCATATGGTATCTATTATATCCCAGAATTCCACTGCATTTGCAAAATTCATTAATTCAGTCACTCATTTGGAAAATATTTACAGGGTCAGACATTGTATTAGGCAGTGAGAAACAAAGATTGGTGCATCCAACTAACAAGTATTTCACTGAGTGCCTGCTATTTGCAAGGTACTGTTTTAGGTATCAGAGACATGGCGTGAAAAAAGTAAGAAAACAAAATTCAAATAATGGTGACAAGCTAGCATTTGGTAGTGTTTAGTACCATGAAGAGAAACAGAGCAGATTTAGAGAGCAGGGCATAAAAGAAGGTGCTATTTGATGAAAAGCCTATTTTGATGGGTGACAGGCCAAGCAAGATTGACGTAAAGGATAAAAGCAAGCCCCACATGGAACTAAAGGAGCGCTCACTGCGGGAGCTGATCAGTAATTCTCAGGGGAGAACAGTGTGGCATGTTCGAAGGCAAGCAAGGTGTCATGGATTGAATTGTGTCAGTCAAAAACATGTCGTGTAAATCCTACACCTGGGGTTATAATCCCATTTAGGCACAGAGTTCTATGTTCATGAGACATTATTAGTGTTGGGTGTGGTGTGTCTTGAGTCAATCCTGGTTGAGCTATAAAAAGAGATTAAAAGAGGAAGAAAAGCAGCAGAGATAGGGGTAGTCAGATGCTCAACCACCTGAAGAGTTCCCAGGAGCAGAAGCTCTAAGAAACAAGAGAAAGCCTCCCCGCCTTGAGCTGGAACAGTGAATTTGGGTTTCTAGTTTCCTATGAGAAAATAAGCTTCTTATCTGAATTGTATAAAACTCTTCCATGCCTTCTCCTGGATTTAAAATAAAATTCATGTGCTTTTAAATCAGAATCCACTTGACAACAATGGGTTTGGAGATACGGGAAAGAAGCATTTCTGTTATCATGGCATTAGATAATTAAAAACACAAGGACACAAGTGAGCAAGGGGGAGGCCGATAGAGAGGAAGGCAGGGGCCAGGTCATCTAAGGGTGAAAAGATGACATGGGTAAGTCTGTAGGAGGGCAGTGGCATGTAACTGTTTACATTACTGAAGAATGTCTGCTTTGTAAGAAGTCAACTGTCGGGTGGCAAGTAATGGAATTCTTGACTTTGCCAGGTACTACTTATTCATGTACAGCTGGAAGGAACAAGAATGGTTAACGATGGGGACGGTAAGAGATGGTCAAGTTTGGGAGATGTTTAAACAATGTTTCTGCATTTAAGGAATTCACATACAAAGGGGGCAGTGGGGAAAATACCATTGATAATATAGTTAGAAACCTGTGAAAAGGAAATTATAAACATAGCTGAATGGGAGCACCAAAGAACCACCTTTGTGGGGGAGCTGGAAAAGGTGTTATGAGTAGGTGACATCTGAGCTGTGCTTTGAAGTATAAGTGAAATTCCATTCAGTTAACAAGATATAAAAACTCACTGCCCTTGAGTTGGAACCAACTTATAGCTGAACCTTCCGGTGGGTTTTCAAAGACTGCAAACTGCCCATTTATTTTTCTCACAAACCAACTGGTGGATTTGAACTGCCTGCCTTTGGGTTGACAGTGCAACTTCTTATCCAGTAGGCCACCAAAGCTTCAGGGAGAGTAAGAGGAAGGTTATTCGAGGCAGAGGACACAGCGTTAAGTGATAGCTTGGGAAGGTGAACCTGCATGGTGTGTTCAGAGGAGAATTAACATGGGATGGGGAGGAAGAGGAAGCTGGAAGACATGTCTGGAAAGGTAATTTGAAACTAGATTTTAAAAAATCTTGAATGGTAATTTTCAGAAGTTTATACCTTATCTTATAGGCAACAGAGAGTCCTTGAAGGTTTTATGTGTATTAGAGTTGTTAACAATTTCATTTTACTAGGATCCACTATCAACACCTGCAGCAACACTCAAGAAATCTAGAGTCGTGTGTCTTGGGAAAATCTGCTGTCAAGAACCTCTCCATGGTGCTGACGAGCCATAGTGTCAGTCAAGAGACTAAGGTGCATCTGGTACAAACCATAGTCTTTTTAACTGGCTCCTATGCATCTGAAAATTGGATAATGAATAAGGATGTCAGAAGATGACTCAACACCTTTGATCCGTGGTTTTGGAGAAGAGGACTAAACTAAATATCCCGTGTACTGCCAAAAGAACAAACACATCTATCTTAGGACAACCAGCAAGGATGGTGAAAGTTCATTTCATATACTTTACACACACTGTCAGGATAGGTCAGCTTTTGGAAAAGGACATCATGCTAGGAAAGGTGAGGTGTCGGAGAAGCGAGATCAAGGACTGGCCCAGTGACTGTAACAATGGATTCAGGCATCTGAGAGCTCACGAGGACGGCACAGGACAGGGGAGGGTTCAGATCTGTCGCTCACCGTCACTATGAGTCATAGCCCCACTCGATGGCACATAACAACACAAGGACATAAGCAGATATGTATTTTTGAGGGTAACACTGATGCACTGTGGAAGTAAACTAGAAAAAGGCATGAAGACTAGCTAGAACTCAGATTCATTCATTTCACAAAAATTATTGAGTGCTCATCATGTGCTAGGTGCTGGGAATCGAGGAGTAAACAAGGCAAGCCGTGTGCCTTCCTTCATGGAGATGAAGTCTGGTCGAGAGGTAATGAGGACTAAATGGAAAGGCTGAGTCAGAGGCAGGAAATATTTCAAAAATACCATC